TGTGTCGACTACACCACACAGTTTGTTGTCAGAAAACCTGCTGAGGGTGCACTCAAATCCCACTGTCCATGTCACTGACAAAGATGTTAAACAGCGCCAGTCCCAATACCAACCCCTGAGGAACGCCAGTTGTCACTGGTCTCGGACAATGTCTCATGGACATTGAGCCATTGACCACAACTCTTTGGGTGCGACCATCCAGACAATTCCTTATTCACCAAGTGAATCCAAGTGGTCCATCCATCAAATCCATGTTTCTCCAAATTAGAGACAAGGACGTTGTGCAGGACAGTGTCAAATGCTTTGCACAAGTCCAGGTAGATGACATCAGTTGCTCTTCCCTTACCCACCAACACTGTAACCCCATCACAGAAGGCCACCAAATTTGTCAGGCATGATTTACCCTTAGTGAAGCCATGTTGGCTGTCACCAATTACCTCCTTATTTTCCATGTGCCTTAGCATAGTTTCCAGGAGGATTCTGCTCCATGATCTTGCCAGGCATGGAGGTGAGACTGACTGGGCTGCAGGTCCCGGGTCTTTCTTCTTTCCCTTTTTAAAAATGGAGGTTATGTTTCCTCTTTTCCAGTCCATGGGAAGATCACGGGACTGCCACAACTTCTCAAATACGATACATAGTGGCTTAGCAACTTCATCTGCCAGTTCCCTCAGGACCCATGGACGCATCTCATCAGGTCCCGTGGACTTGTGCACCTTCAAGTTCCTTAGATGGTCTCGAACTTGATCTTCTCCTACAGTGGGCAGTTCTTCATTCTCCCAATCCCTGCCTTTGCCTTCTGTGACTTGGGTGGTGTGGCTTGAGCACTTGCCAGTAAAGGCTGAGGCAAAAAAGTCATTGAGTACCTCAGCCTCCTCCATATCCCAAGTAACCAGGTCTCCCATTTCCTTCAGAAAAGGGCCCACATTTTCCCTAGTCTTCCTTTCATTACTGACATACCTATAGAAGCTTTTCTTGTTGCCCTTGATGTCCCTGGCCAGATTCGATTCTATCAGGGCTTTAGCTTTCCTAACCTGATCCCTGGCTGCTCAGACAATTTCTCTGTATTTCTCCCAGGCTACCTGTCTTTGCTTCCACCCTTTGTAGGCTCAATTCTCTGTAGCATGGAGCAGCTTCACCCTGATAAGCCCCAATGTCAGTAAGGGGGACCAAATCCCTCCCACAGTGGGATTTCTAACAAATTTTGCTGCAGAAATAAGTTCATCAGAAATTGTCAAAAATGGAGTTCTGTTTGTATTCAGTGGAAGCTATAAAATTGAAGATTTTTTGTATGTGGTTTTAGGCAAAGCATTTTTATTCTTTTAAATTTCTCCTTGGAACATCTTCCATATGCTAGAATATTTAAAGTGTATTTTTAAATAGTGACTGGCAATCTGTGAAACACCATTTTAGCATGAATGAGGTCATATGCTACTAAAATACTACTTATGCTAGGAAACTGAGATGAATTGAAAGTAGCACAGCTAAAAAAGGGAAGGCAACAGGTGTTTTATTAGATAGCAGATATTGGCTTTTTTTACGTCTGTAGAATAACTGATACTTCATCCTAAAAATTGTTGTTACAGATTTGCATGTTTCTACTACTGTAGAAGTCCCAGTGTTCCTAATTCAGGGTGTTTCTTTAAGGAGTTTTTGATGAATAAAACATGATATCCTCTCCTAGCATATCACCAGTTGCATAATGTGATACAGGGTTGAAAGAGTTTTGCTTGGGTACCAGACATCTGATGACTAAGAATATGCTCGAAATGATACCGGGCAGGCTGTGCTCCTGCACAAAAAACCTGGTGTTATCAGCATTCTGTAGTTTTCACAGAGTTGACTGTAAGGTGTATGTGCAGCCTGTTATAAAGAAGTATTTTTTGTGATGCAATAAATGGGAGAGTAATTTCCTTATATGCACAGATTTTAGTCACCTACTTAGTGAATAAGAGAAGTGGGATCATCTCTACCCAAAATTTACAACACCTTTGACTATATCAATACAGGCTGGGGGATGAAGGGATTGAGAGCAGCCCTGCCGAGAAGGATGTGGGGGGCCTGGTGGATGAAAAGCTGGACATGAGCCGACAATGTGCACTTGCAGCCCAGAAGGCCAACCCTATCCTGGGCTGCATCCAACGCAGCGTGGACAGCGGGTCGAGGGAGGGGATTCTGCCCCTCTACCCCACTCTGGTGAGTCCCCACCTGGAGTCCTGCGTCCAGCTCTGGAGCCCTCAGCACAGGGAGGACATGGACCTGTTGGAGCAGGTCCAGAGGAGGCCACAAAAATGGTCGGTGTGAGGACAGGCTGAGAGAGTTGGGGTTGTTCAGCCTGGAGACGAGAAGGCTCCGGAGAGACCTTACTGCAGCCTGCCAGTGCTTAAAGGGGGCTTCTAAGAAAGATGGGGACAGACTTTTTAGCAGG